TCAATCGTTAGTAGATCCTGATGCGCCTATCCATCTTTTCGGAGGGAGTCGACTTCTGGTAGTCGACATCTGGAAGTTAACTGAGAGAGACACCTGGGCCCCGACAGACCGGAGATAGTGCGGGAAGTCCTCAGGAAGAGTCAACTTTAGATAACTCGACTTGATAATGTCTTGAACCGTTATACGACAGTATGGCTATATCAAAACCCTCAAACATGATATCTATGAGATTTATATTTAGAATTGTTAGATAATTTAATTCGATGTGATTATACCATATACTTAATTAGTTAGACTAACATTATAAGATTTTTCAATTTCAATTTAATTGTATTATATATATATATATATACATGCTCCAAAAAAATTCTACACGGGCTAAAGCCTGGGGGGACTAGTACATGGCTCCGCCTCTGGTTCATGCGGCGGATATATATATATATATATATATATAGCAGGAGCTGCCCGAGAGAGATAATATCTGATGAAGGAAAATATCTGTTGTAAATATTTTTCGGAGTAGAATCGAAAGATTCGAACACCGGGTCGTGTCTCACGAGGAAGGTTACCGGAATATTCTGTACGTTTACTCAACCGCACAAAAAGAAATAAAACTCCTAAACATACTAATTCAGATATTTGATTGGTTTTAATTATCAACTACTGCAAAAATTCAAATAAAGCAATAAAAATATCAAAGCAATAACAAAGAAAAAATAGGATTTAAGGAGCTAGGGAGTCGGGGATATCCGTTTTGGTTCGACATTGGAATTATCAAGCAAGAGATTATTCGGTTAAGTGATTTGAATAACCGACACGTTCAAGCACTCATTCTCAATAATTTTTCGTAACAAGAGAACAAACTTAAATGACAAGTTAACAAGTCATTTAACACCTAGGTAATACAATTACAAACAAGCCTAGTTTATACGAGCCTATTTCGACCGACTCCTCCCCTTTCGGTTCTAAGAGTCGATTAAAGGAGACTAGAGGGTTGTTAATCCACTAACCCGTTTAGAATTACCAACAACATGCATGAATTTATTGAATTCACTTGAAACAATTCACCCTTCAATAATTCTCAAAGCTCATGAATGATGATTGCAAACTCTAGAAAAAGCTTAACTCGTACAAATTGAACAATCACGAACATGATAATCGCAAGAGAATTCAAAACATCAATCCCCTATTCCCTAGCATATGAATTTAGCCACTCATGATCGATTCAACATCAAAATCATCAATAATCCAAGCCATCATAATCATCATCATAATCATAAATTAAACGAAAAGAAAGCTTACGATTAATATCCAATGTCGAAAACGAGAGCAAATCGAATCCAAAAGCGAGAAAAAGAGTTTTCTACTCTCCAAATCAAATCACAAGTGAAAAACTAAGAGAGAAATATGTTTTCTCTCAAGAAAAGTCAAAAAAATGAAGTCAGGAGACCCTAAATATGCCCTAGGCACGATCTATTAAGCTTCCAATTCAAAAATCCGCAGAAATCGCGTCTGTTACAAAACAGACCTTAGCACCGCTAAGGGGTTAGCGGCGCTAAGCCTTCTTAGCTGTTAGCCTCTGTCCCGCTAAGCTTCCAGAACGCCGCTATCCACACTGGCCTTAGCGGCGCTAAGGCCTTAGCGCCGCTAAGGCCCCCGGCAGCTTTGCATGACTTCACGGTTTGGGCTCGTTCGGGCTCGTCTAATATCGAAATTCAATTCCCTTTTTTTCTATGCATCGCTTACGAGCCCCTCTTTCTGATGGTGTTAGCTTCCCCTAAAGATTCTCGAAAACCTGTTCTCCTGGGGTCTTTAATCTACACACCAAAAACGAAAAGAGAACAGAAAAAGACCGAAAAACAAACGGAAAATACCGCAACACTCAAATGAACGCAAAACACATAATAAATGACAAAAGATCCTAAAACCACCTAAACGACTCAATACGGGGGAAAAAAGAATGGCAAAAAGACAACGAAAAACACAACAAAAATGGGACAAACAACTCCCCCACACTAAAACCTTTGTTCGTCCCGAACAAAGAGAAAATAAAAGACGCAAAGATCAAGCATGGATAGCGCTGACAAACAAGAAAGGACTCAAACTACTCAATTAAATCGAAAAGCATTCAAACGGCCACAAACCACATGCTTCAACTACATACTCAGTTAAAGCAGTTTGAACGACAAATCTCTCGACAATGGAATATAGGGATGAGCCTCACTATATTTCTTTCATGAATATAACGAGGTGTTGATAGCCGAGTTGGCCTGGATTGGACCGGATACTGAACCTCTCAGGACCGAGCTGAAGACCCGGTCTGGTGAAGAAGTGCCGAGCTGAACCGAGGATTAAAGATGTGTAGAGCCGCAATAGGAACTTTCTCTCGGCCCGGCACCTGGCTCAGTCCGGACAAAGGCTGGCCTGGAGGGGTGCTGAACGGAAAGAAGACTATTCGTAGTCTCGTGAACACTTTCGAATGAGGTGCCGGCCTGAAAATCCGAGGAGGCCGACCAGAGGGAAAGCGCAGGCTTCGATGAGCATTAAAATATTCCCACTTAGGAGGCCATCATTGGACGATGGGACAAGTAATCATGGCCTAGC